TTGGCCCATACGCATTCATTACTGTTATAACAACAAGTTGTCTGTTCCTCATACAGGGCTCTTCCTTCCTCATTTAACGTTTCTTGCCCTAAAGTTCTCTTTGTGGGCGATGCACCCAGACCCAGGGTGCCTTTGGTGTGCCCTTGTGTGTTGGAATTTGGCTTTGGCGGAGCCCCTCTGCCTCCAGCTACTGGTTTCGTCGGTGCTGCTCCGGTGGGAGCGTCTCCTTGGTCTTCCTTCTCGCACGCGCGTCTGGATCATCACCGTGTGCCCGTCTGGCAGCAGCGTCCCGGCTCAGGTCTGCCGTCGCCGTCCACGGCTCTCTGCCGTGATAGACTTTGTGTATCTTTCACCATATGCTCTGTGTTTTCTTTGTTTTATATTTTGTCTCTGTGCCTTTTTAAAAATACATCATTTGGGAAACTGTGCTTTCGATCCAGTATCCATCTCTGTCATGATCATGGGCCGGGACCCCCCCCAGCCCCCGTTTCTGTAGGCAGCCTTTGCTCCTCCCTCCCAGGAAGGATGTCGAAATCAGCATCGCTGCTTCTCCTGCTGCCACCTGGTTGATGACATGGCTTTTATTGCCCCCTACTTACTTTTGTGCCGACAATGTTACTGAAGCCCCCCACTCCCCCTGCATGATTCCCTAAACCCCAGTAGAAATGAACAGAAGCCGCTTAACCTGCATCCTGTGCGCCCGCCCCCTCCTGCGGATGCCTTTCAGGGGCGCTCTGCTTTCCGTTCCATTCTTTCCGGCAGCGAATAGTCAGAAGCAGGCGACGTGCTTTGGACTTGGTTCTGCCATTGAGTGGACGCTACGTTCCCTGCCAGGGCCCTCTCAGGAGTGACTCCCCCCCACCTCTGGTGGGTTGGAGTGTGTCCTCACATAATTTATCCGCAGAAGACTTGTTGCTGTTGTTGTTGTTGTTGTTGTCGTCAGGTGCTGTTGAGCCAGCCCACCCCCACCCCCGTACAGCAGGATGAGGCACCACCCAGGCCTGGGTCATCCTCCTAAATGCCATGGGTGAGCCCACGGTGGCAGCCCCTGGGCCAGTCCATCTCCCTCAGGGTCTTCCTCTTTGCGCCGCCCCTCCACACGACACACGATGCCGATGAGAGGTATCTGCGTATGGTTTTAATGGTATTCTACCAGGCTTCTTCCAGCAAAGGTAGCCATTGAGTTCCCTCACTACACTCCCCTCCTTTTTTTCCCTTCTTTAAAAATTTTAAACGTATCTCTTTTCCCTACATTTTACTTATTTTGTTGCTGTTGAGACTACATGCAGCACGCGGAGGCCAATCAGCGGTTTCTGCACGTACCGCTCGCTGGCACAGGGGCCTCCTTCCAGAGGCGAAGCCATCCCGCCCCCTCTTCTGCGTGACTCCTCCCTCACGAGCAGTGGCCTCCTTTCTTATCTCTTGAGTTGCTGTTGTCAACGTTGGTCCCCTCTAGATCTTCCTTAAAAGCGTAGAATGCTCAAGACAGACCGCTTCTGACCAGGGAAGCGAGGCGGTGGTTTGGTTTCATGAGAACACCGAGGGATACTTGTGTTTTAAGGCTTAAAAGATGATCTCTGGACAACGGTGTCCAGATTCATCCACCCCTGTGGCTCCAGAAAGCTTGTCTTTCGGGAAAACTGGAGCTTCTGTTCTGCGTTTCCCCCTTTTGCCCAGCATTCTTCTGTGGGATCGTAGATCGAAATGTTCGGTCAGGGTAGCCGGGCACCATCCGTTCTTCGGCTCTCATGGCAAAGGAGCCACATAATATAGCATCTTATTATCCCCGATTCTCCTCCTCCTGTTGGTCCAGGTGAGTAGAGGTCACACGTTGTGCATTAGATGGCTGCTTGCAAGCTTTTATGAACGGTGCAATGAACTAGGAGGTAGACCAGTAGTGCTACACACATTATTCGGTCAATTGACTGGGATGTCCCGGGAAACCATCACTGGCACCATCACAACCAACAAACCAGTTCTGTGAGGTGTTTGGTTGTACACAACCAGCCTCAGCTGCTGCCCTGCCTTCTGTCATTGCCATAAGCAGATCTATCACACAACTTCGGCCAGTACCATTTGTACAACTTATTGGCAACCATTACCATCATCAACTCCACAACCTTGCCCTTAATCAATCTTTTTCCATCACCAGTTACTTACCACTCTTCTCCTTCACGCTCGCCACTGGTACTCCATCGTAACCTTTGGTCTCCACAATCTGCCTTTTCTTCTCTTACTGTGTTAGTGAAGTCATCCCTATCTATGTGCCCATTTGTGATTGGCTAATCTCATCCAGCAGCCTGTCTTCAAACTCCACCCACACCAAAGCACATACCACGACGCCATCACTTCCCTCTCCGACTGGCTGAGTGGCATCCTGTTGTCTGTAGGGCCCACATTGTGTTTATCGGTTTGTCTGTTGATGGGCATTGAAATTGTTTCCACCTTTGGGCTGCAGCGAACGGTGCTGCCATGAGCATCGTGTACACGTCCCTTTCTGAGTCTCTGCTTAAAAGTCTTCCAGGTGGATACCTGGCTGTGCGGCTGTTCTATTTTAAGTGTATTTGAGGAAGCATCACACTGGCTTCTAGAACAGTTGTATCACTTCCACAACGACGGAGAACGGTTCACGGCTCCCACCAGTGTCACCAACATCAGTTATTTCCTGTTTGCAAGCTTTGTTTTTGATCTGAACAAAAGATTGTTGTTGTTGTTGGTGGTGTTGGTGGTGGTGGTGGTGTTGTCGTCGTTGGTAGGTGCTATGGAGTGTGTTCCGACGTATAGCAGCTCTGTGGACAAAAGAATGAAGCATTGCCCGGTCCTGCGCCATTGTCACAACGATTCTTATGTCTGAGCCCATCGATGCAGCCCTTGTGTCCATCCAGCCCATCAAGGGCCTGCCTCTTTTTCGCGGCCCCACTACTTTCCCAAGTAGGATGTCCCTCCCCAGGGACTGGTCTCTCCTGACAAGTCCAAAGTATGTCAGGTGAATCTTGCCTTCCTTGTCTCTAAGGAGCAATCAGGCTATACTTCTTCCAGGACAGATTTGTTGGTTCTTTTGTCCGTCCCTGGTACTTTGATTGTCTGTCCTCGCACCGCAGTTATAATGCACTGGTTTGTGTTGGGTCTTCCATAGTCAGTGCCCGGCTTTCATGTGCACACGAGGCCACTGAAGACGCCATGGCCCGAGTCGGGCACACCTGAGTGTCTTCCAATGACCTCCTTGCCCTCCAGCACTTAAAAGAGAGCTTATGTACACAGCAAACTTACCCATTGCAACATCATCTGATCTCTCGGCTGCTGCTCCCGTGAGCACTGATTGTGGATCCAAGCAAGACAAGACCCTCGGCTGCTTCAATTACAAGGAGTATAATGGTGTCTCGTCTGACTTGCACCTTTCTGATGGCTGATGACACAGAGCGTCCTTCCATGTGTTTGGTGGCCACTGAAAGTCCGTGTTGGTGCGATGACCGGATCATTTGCCCTTAGTTGTTCAATGGCGGCCTTTTTGTATCTATCTTGATGATTACATTCTTGTCAGATAGATGGTTTTCAAAGATATTCTACCAGCTAATAGCTTATCATTTCTTTTCTTTCCCCTTTTTCTTTCTCTCTCTTTTTGATCAAGTCTTTTGATGAACAGATCTGGGTGGCTTTTATGAGGTCTTGTTTATTTATTTTGTCTTTGGATGTTAGTGCACTGTTGAAAGCGGGTCTCTCAGCATTGCCCCTGCTTCTTTAAGCCTGTTATGTTTCAGTTTGCACAGTCCAATCCGTATTACACTTGAGTGTGAGTCTGGGATGACTAGAGAAACAAATCCATAAACATTCATGTGTATAAAGAAAGAGCTTTATATAGAAGAGCAATTGAATATTGAAAAACCATCCCAGCCCAGTCCAGATCAAGTCCACAAGTACAATATTAGCCCAACTGTCAGTACCAATCTATAAAGTCCTCTTCTGACTCACAAAACACATGCAATGATGCCGAAGGCAGGCAGATCACAGGCCAATGGGTGGGGAATCTTGTGGATCCAGTGGCATTGTAAGCATCTCAGCACTGGCAGAAGTCTACGTGCCTTCTTCAACACCCAGAGTTGCATCAGGCTAGGTCCCTGTGGCTTCTCCTCAGGGATGTCTCACAAGGAGTCAGCCTTGTCAGTAGAGAGTTTGCAAGGGAGTGCGCAGAGAGAGAGAAGAGTCTCCCGCCTCCAAGGAAGAAATCTAGGAATTCCCAGAATCCCCAGGGAAGGCCACGCCCACACAGAGGTCTCATTGGCAATCCTTGGATTGGCATGCTAGACTCCATCCCTACACTCTGAATCTCTCTCAGATTGACAACAGATTATGTAACTCCCAGAACTTGGAATTCATAATTGCGAATATTGTGAATATGGTGTGAGGGACAAGTCCCATACCATCTTTCTGCATGTGGAAATCCAAGTTTTCCAGCACCATGTATTACCTTACCTTTAAAAAACAAAATCAAAGTTGGCCAGAGATGTTTGGTGTGACCATTTCATTTATCCTCTAAATGCAGATAGTTTTAGTGGAGGCAGAGGTGGACTATTCAGAATTAAACCAGAACAGCAAGCATTCACTGAGAGTCTCCCAAGTCCAACACATGCAATTACCGTGGTTGAGACACTGTGCTGACTTTGATAACGTGAACAAATGTTTTCCAGATGGAAAATCGTATTTTCTATATGAGCTCTCTTCCTTCTCCTTGTCTATGTAAATGACCTGATAATCAGGACAGCATTGCTCCGCCTATTCCACTCCTGGACACGTTATCTTCTTGTCTTATTGCTTGGGCCAGCAGTGCAAGGGTTCTATGGGGGGCTTGCTTGCCTTGATTCCAGCCTGAAAGTTATAAGGTTTGCAATGCCCCTGGGGGCAAAGATGAGTCACTTACTCTGAGGAAGCTTGGCTTCGGGGCATTGTCCCTGTGGAGAAGACAGACACTCTCGTGATGCGTTGTTTCTCTCTGCTTCTTCCAGAATTCCTTTGTGCTGTGCCTCAGGATGGGGAGGTGAGACCCAGAGCGCCCACGCAGCCTCCAAGGACGCCTCCTAACCAAGACGCAGAGCGAGCCAGGGCGGCAGCGGTGATGGCAAAGGAGGTGGTGCTGCCCGAGCCCTCTACCCCCTTCCATGGACTTCCACGATTAGGAGAGAACTCAGGGGCAGATCCTGGGGCGCAGGGAGGGGGTTCTGGGCCACCCGTCCACAAGCAATAGTCCCACTTTGGGCCGGTGGCTGCTGACAGGCTGTAGTGGGCTCGGCTGGCCAACACAAAGTCCTCGGGTCGATGGACGCCAACAGGATGGGACCTGTGCATCACAGCTGCGGCTCCAACAGCTCCCTGCCCCCCCTTCTCCAGCGGAGGCCCCTCAGGGCCTGCCCCTGTCAGAAGACCTACTCTGAGTTGAATGTGCGTGTGTCTGCCGGTGTGGTTCGAGGTGTGCTTCAGGTTTGGTTGGTTTCTGTTGGGGTTCCCCCACTCCCACCCCGAGTTGTCCAGCAGGCATGGGTCACCTCGTAGCTCGGCTGCACGCCGAGGGTCGGGCCCAGCCGGGGACAGGGGTCATGGTCTTCGAGGCTGAGGGATGAGGGCACGTCTCCTCTGAGTCTCAGTGGACACAAGGGGGCTGACAGCGCTAGGCAGGGTCAGGTGTCATGGAGCACACCTGGCACACACCTCACCATGGCACCTTCTTAGCTGGGTACAATGATGGGAGCAGCTCTGAGCAGGGACAGGGTGCCCAGGGCCACCCAACCAGGACTCTGCAGGGTCCCCCAGCACAAGTACCCTTGGGGTCTCCCCCCAGCTCACTCTGGCTCCATTCCTGCTGCGTGCCGGCCCACCCAACCCAACTAAAAGAAAAAAGCCGGGGGCCAGTGCCAAAAGGGAAAGAAGGGAAACCAAGGGGGGGAAGGGGGGTGGGGGCAGCTCTTGCTTGGCCTGAGTCACCTTTCCCCTGAAGGCTGGCCTGCCCCCCACACCTGGGTCCCTCAGGAGCTCACCCCTGAATGCTAATTAAGAGACACATTGCATCAATGTGCTACGCTCCCCACACACTGCCTGCCCAGCCGTTAGCTCAGTAAGCGTGTCACCTCCTGACAGAGCACCGAGGTAGACCCAGAGCCTGCGTTCTCCCATGCTCGCCCACCCCCACCCCCCACTCACAAAACACAGCCAGAGCAAAAGACAGGCCACTGCTGGCGCCAGCAGGGAGCG